AAAATCGCCAACTCGAGAACCAGAAAAGCTAGAAAGCTGAAATTTTGGGATTATGTTTCCAGTCCACGTAGAACTTAAAGATTTCAAATTCAGCCCCCGGGGGTTTGTGGTTCCCACGTACAGCCCCCTGAGGGTTCCTGGCGCGAAAATCGCTAGCTCGGAAACCAGGGATGCTGGGAGGCTGAAGGTTTCAGGAAATGTTCCCAACTCATCTACAACTTCAATTTATCAAATTCAGCCCCCCGTCATTCGTGGTGGCTACGCACGGCCCCGTGAAATTTTTTGGCTGCAATTTGCGTATCTCGGGAACTGAGAAAGCTGGGAACCTGGAATTTCAAGGGAATGTTCTCTGTCCAACTATAGCGTGGATAACTAACTTCCCGAAATTCGAGGACCAGTATGTACAAGAGGCTTCTAACTAGCGGAATTTCGAGTGATCTTATTACAGCACGAAACACTGCAAAAACGCATGATCGCATGGGCCCGCCGGTGCGCATCGCCAATGATTCAGCTTTTTATTCTAATTTTCCTTGTATTTAGAAACAGGAATAAATATTCAGTCCTTTGGTTTTATTTTTGAATCGTGAGTTTTGTTTCAAGTCTCAGTATGCGACCATGCAATAGACGTAGCTATGCCAAGTCTGAGCTAAATTTCAATAAAAAGTGTTTTATTTATTAAAACTTTGCCATCAAAAATTTAATTCTTCAGCAGTTTTTATCTTATTTTTTTCAGGCGAGATTTGCATTGTGAATTTGAATTATGCGTTGGAACGAGCTTACATAATTCGCCGACCAACACCGGATAGTTATGTGGTAACCCATTATCATACATTTACGTATAATGTTGATAATAGTAACGATATATATATATATATATATATATATATACGTGTGGTGCATGAATTATACTCGCTTTGATACTTTGGCTAACTGTTGTTTCATTGTCACTTTTGTTCTCGTCATTTATACAACTAACATTTGCTCCATTCTTCTCTATTTTGAGCTTCTCCTATCCAAATTTGTTTTATACAGTCGATCAAGCGGATCTTTTTACCAAACTGTCATAAGTTATAAATGAAGGACTTCTGATCTTATCACCTCGTCATGATGTGAGTGTAACGATGGGCATCAAACACTCTTTTCGTCTTGCTGGCAGTTCTTCACAGTATTTGTTATCTTTGTACCTGCGCCTTTCATTATTCTTTTTTGCTGCTCTGGTGACTCATTTCCTCAGATGATCGCATCACTGTGTATCATATTTCGGGCATAACACACTGCGCCGTTGACAAATCTCCAAAGAGTAAGTCTGCTTTTTTTTTCAGATATACCTCCTCGATAAGGGACTGCAGGGTGAAGCGAAATTTGATGATATCTATGAGATTCCACCAGAAATGCAGAACATTGGTTTATTTTGCTGCATTTGTCCGATTGAGGTACCAACCGCTTATCAGCGGGGTGCGTATCAAACTTTTGCTGGCCGCAAATGCAAATGTGAAGTGGGTGAGCTTTTATGCATAAAATAGGCATTGTTATCATTGCTAATTATTATTGTGCGGTAAAATGAGCACTGTCTTAAACTGATCCCAAATCTTCATTCTCAATCATTTTCGCTTTTTGCATTATATGCACTTAGTTATGCTTCATATGTATAATGACAATAGCGCATAACAAACTCATATATTTTGTATTTAATGCTGTGTACATTTGTTTTGCTGATTATTATTCATATTATTATTATTAGTATTATTATTGTTCGTGTTATTATATGAACTATGAATGTTTTCGCGTTGCCTATGTTTTACACTTATTGTTCTATTCTTGTAGCGTTAGATAATGATGAACTTAATTTGTACAAGGCGTACGACATATGCACATATTTAATATATTATTAGGAAAAATTCAATTATTATTATTATACGGTTGCTGCCATTCGATCACTGTCTTACACTGTTATGTTTGTTTTTACGCTACAGTTATTCAGTGTTTAATTACGCCTGATATAAATAAATATAAAAAAAAATACAAAATATAAAATATAAAGATCACGATATTTGTTGCAAAATGTAAAGATTATAATTTTAGACCACTTTGTACGATCGGCGGTAGTTGGTGGATATGCACGTGGTCGATTGTTGGTTGAAAAAAATGGCAACCATGAAGAATTACAACATATTGTTAATGATACGCAAATCGTCCTAGATTAAACGATCCAGTAATTTAGAGTGATTCTTTTGTTTATCATCTCCAGTGCAGAATGATTTTTTGAATTATGGCTAGTTTCAGTTTTCTCCTGAATGCATTTCGTTTGGGCATGATTTTTGCGCAAAGTAATTACTGATTTCACAGCGTAATTTAGATTCTGTGAACAGGTGAAGCTGGTACCCTCTCCTTTTTATCAGTGATAATTTATTTGTTATTTAGGTTTGTTCAGCATATCATTAATATTTTTCGTAGTGACTTAAGCGTTCTTTGAGAAATGTCGTTGTTTTGTCTTATTTTGTTTACCATTCATAGAGTAAGAGTTATGGGAGCGAAAAAATTGTCTAAATGACTAGAATGCAGCTGGAAAAGATGAAGAATTATCGAGAACGAGCGAGCAATAAAGCAGCAACCGTTTTCCAAAAGACGCTCTTCAGAGTCCTCCACTGAATCAGCAGTTTTGCTTGATGCGGATCAGTTGGCCAAAACGAATGAATGCACTCGCGGGCGTTGAACTGAAAGTTTTAATCATAGGCATATGGCTTCTTTCGCTCAAAACTAGAATGACAGTCAGAAGCAGAAACATAATTTGTTACGTTTTTCAAAATTTTGGGATTCATTATGATTGAATAATTTCTAGAGTTTTACAATAATTCCCATTTCTACCTCGTATAGCCCGGTCTGTGTTTACAGCTAAGGGATGAAACATAAACTGCGCCAAGATTTGACATGCAATACCTTGATCGAATATTTCGCTCGTCTTGTTCCACTGAAATTGTGTATGAACGAATGAGAGAGTACAAAGGTCGTGGTTCAGTTCGAGAGGAATGTCGAGATGCGAAGGCACTGTTCAGCGGTGGGGATATTGACTTGTAGTCGATGGTTCTGTTGCTACTGCTGCCGCTGCTGCTGATCGATTCTGATTGATAAAATGGTGGTCATTGTGCTTGTGTGATAAGATGTGCTACAGTTGTTATCCCTCAGCAGTAGTTCTTGTTCTCAGTTTATCATGTTTTGCGCCGTGTACCAACGCATCGTCATGGGACGGCGAAACCTTCTTCACGGCTTATCACGACTATGATATCTTTGAAATCAGCGATAGCTACCCTTCGACAATCAACAACCAGCAGCAGCAACAACAGGTCAGTTGTTTCTGGACTAAACTGTTATCACTTTTATCATCATTTTATTGCTGTTATTGTCGCTATCATTTTTTCTGTGTAAGAAATGGTGCGAAAAATAACAGCAATGATTATACTTATTATCGTTGTTGTTGTGACAGTATTTTCATTTTATCGTTACTACTAGCGATGCAATTTTTGTTGCTAT